CTTTCTAATGAGACTGGCAGCAGTTCACTGTCTTCTCCTGAGTCAGGCAACTGATTCACTTTCCAAGGTGCCGCTGATACATTTCACCCCTCAACAGCAGAGCCTTTAGCCGCCAAGGGGGCTTCAGTGTCATCAGTTGCTGTCAGCCAAAAGGACACACTGTGGTCAGTTGAACATCAGATATCAAGCGTTTTGTAATTCAATCTAAACAAAGACAGGAGACGCCGAGTATCCATATCGTCTGTTTGTCGCACACTCGTTAGAAAAGCACGGATCACCATGGAACACAATGAGGGGTAAACCTATCCAGAGTGCTGCTGGAGGAATCCGTCTTATGTAATAATACCAAATAAAAGTAGATATAATAGGATTCTAAAGAAACACAGCATGTATAAAACGGTTACAAAAATAAAAACATGTTTAAAGTAAAGAACAGTTTAGAAAAAAGTTATTTTATGGCATCTCTGAAAGGTTGTTGGGTATCTGTGAGCCAATATCTTCTTGAGAGGTCAAATGAATCAAATGATTGTCAAATGGCAACTAATTGGTCTTGAATACTCTCTAAACTATTCATTTTCAGATTGGATTCATTCATACATCAAACTTTAAATGTTGTGGGACATGTAAAGCTAACTCATAAAAGTGTCTACTCAAAAAGACATGACTTTTTGAGCACAAGATTTGAAGGCAGGCTTCCTTTTCAACTTTAAAAATAAGTTGTTATATAATTGTAATTAAATAATGTTTATTAATCAATGGCATTTAACGTAAAAAGCTCTGTTCTGCTCTGATAGGCAAAGGTAGACCAGAACAAGTTTTATTTTGTTCTATTTGACCAAAACACTTTCTGCCAAATGTTTGCTGCGTCCCTTTCATGGGCTGTGATAAACTCATAATCTGACTTCATTCAACAAGGCCTCAATTTGGCTTTCAGCTACTTTCTAAAGTAAAAAGCAAAGAAAACAGTTCAGGTGATGTGAATCATTTTCAAGGGACTGTATTTCTACATGATTTTTGTAATACTGGACAGATTTATAATCTAGCGTCAAACTGAATGTGATGTCTTGCTGCAGAAGAATACTTGTTATGGAAACAAGTAAACCTAATTCAACCTGAATTAGCATCTTACCTAAAGATAATTTGACACAAAGTGGCAGATCTGTAAATAACTTTACAACTTCTCAGTAGTTTGTTGGCATAGAGTCAAACATTTTAATTCCTTAATTCACTTTATCTACCCAAATGTGATTCCAGTAGCATGCTAAATATCTGCAAAGTTGTTTAATAGATTAATCCGTCAGTGAGATAACATTTCAGTATTATGCACCATCTCTTAAAGTCTGTGTAGTTTGATTCTTTTCAACATTATAAAGTCAGCAATCATCATAATTTTTCACCCTTGACACACACAGTGATCAGCAGCTACAGCTAAGTCGTGTGACAGAGTGATTTTGGCTTTGTTGGGTCAGTTGCGTCTGTCTGGTTCTGGCTCAGTCCATTACCAGCCTAAATGACTAATTAATGGTCCAGGGACAGCTGACACCAGCTTCTCAAGATCTATTTACACCCCCGTCTACTCCAGAGCTCTTCTCCTTCACTTCTGCCTTCATCCCTTTGCTCCCCCTCCCTCATCTCTTATTCATTCGTTGGTGGCGTACAGTTTGAGGCGCAGATCTGCTGACAGAAAGATGGACAGATTGAAGGGCAGGTGAAGCAGACTGTGGAGCTGTGCTCTGCATTTGATATAGGAGGAAGGTGGGTCATGTATCCCCACCTTTACTGAAGGAGGGATAGATTAACACTGATCTCCACCTGCTTACACACCCAACACTTCTTCCTCAAGAGTTTAATGGAAGGTCTGATGGAGCCTATTATGAGTAAAATGCACACTTGGCAGTTACTGCAGAGTCCTGAGACTGCATGCCAAGACTGCTTATCTATAGGTAATTGTGTGCTCAAACATCCATTCTGCAGTACAAACAGACACACAGGGCTTGTTGGTGAAGGATGTTTTAATGAAAAGATTATGAAAAAACTCACAAAAACCACAGGGAACATAAGGAGCCAGAGCAAAAACCAAACCAGGAACCCTGGGGGAAAATGACAGAAATGAAACGACAGAAAGGAAATGATGGGAGTTGATGAGAGGAACCAACAATGAGTGAAAGAGAAATGATGTGTAAGTAGCTTTCATTCATCAGTGAATGAAAGCTGTAAAATTGGACCTGAGCTGATAGATACTAATTGCAGGTGTGTTTGGAGAGAGCAGACTGAGAAGAGGGCGAGAGAACGAAAGTGGCACAGGTAGGGGGAGAGAACACAGGGGACTAGGAATTAAATCTAACATTAAAGAATAAGAAAGAAACATCAGATTAAAATGAACTAAGGACAAGAAATAAACTATAATTACTAAGGAGAACTAAACTAAAATAAACAGAAACAAGACTGATTTAATCAAAGAAAGAATAAACAAAACCCAAAACCGATTCAAAAAACTCAAGATCATGACAGAAAAGTAAAATTTCCCTACATAGGAAACATTACATGTTTCATCTGCAGTCTTGACACTTATTTCCCTCTTTTTATAATTTTTTTAAAACAATGTGTAAAAAAAGCTAATCTGAGAGGAAATATAAATTTGCAATAACAGCAGAGATATCTATGAAACTTTAACATAGTATTTGAGCATAAAAACTATTATATTAAAATTTGCATTGCCTGTCTATGATATATTGGCATCACTCTGTTCTGTGTCGATATCCTTATTTTACATATTAGATCCTATAAAATCTCTATTAGTTGGCTCCATATGGAAAGATTAATCTATTGTGCATTCATGCATTCAAATTTATAATATCATAATATTGTATTATATGTTTGCAGAGCCACTGTGTGTCTCCTCTCATTGAGCATTAAAGCAACTATGAACAAACTGAGGCTTTCAGACGGGAAGGAAACTTGACTCACAATGTCATTAGCAACCGGGTCATCCACATAATAGTGAACAGATACACACACATACACCCGGGTTATCACTGTAGTCAGGAGATAGGGATGAGTAGCCTGGGGTAAATCAATTTTGAGATTCGCTGTCAAATTAAAGGCCCCACAGAGGGCACTGTGACAATATCAGCAGCAGCCGGTGTAAAGCAGCCGTCCCTAAATCAGCTCTCTGTGCAGGAAGATAGAGCCACTGTCCATCAAGTCAGCTCCGGGTTCCTGCAAAGAGAAGAGCATGACCGAGTCGGCGTCCTTGTTTGTCTGGAGAAATAAATATTGACGTTAAAATAGCTCTTTTGACTTATCAGGAGCACCAGCAGTGAGCTCGCTTTCCATTATTTGCACAGTTGTTGTCTTTCTGTGTCTAAGTCTTATGTTTTATTTTTCTGCCTGTGCCTATGTTTACACTCCAACCTTGATCAGTCATGTCCATTTGTTTCTTGACTCAGTGGTTTAACGAGTTTGAGATTTTGGAAAATATGTAAACTATCAGTATAGAGCTCACTTTTTCTATCATAATTAGACATACAGACATAATTTATTTGTATTTTTGATAGCTTACTCTTTTAGGTTAAAGGGAATGAAATCAATTCCAACTACTTGTACAAGAACATAGTCCATGATATTGCACAATGTTTTTACAAGGCAAAATTTCCCTTGAACTCTTTCCATTTTGTTTCAATTTAACCATAACATTTGATGTATTTTATCAAATGATATGGACCAACACAAAGTAGTGCAGAACTATGAAGAGGAACATTGATTTATTTTTCAGGAGAAAAATCAGAAAAGTGCGGCATTTGTACAGAAAGCCTTTTTCCAAGTATTTTATACGGTTGTCTTGAAGAAAGAAACACATGAAGAAGAGAAAAATGTTTTTTGTAAATTATCCCATTGTGCTGCTATTTGAATCTCAGATGCTTGTTGTCCTGTTGGACAGCTGCCTGAGTCTCAAGTACTTTGAAGCCTCCAAAATAGTTTGTTTTTTTTTCCTCTAAAATCCATCTTACCATGTTTGATTGGCTTCAATGAACAAAAATATCCCATCAGCTTTATGACCTGAATATTGTTTAATCATTTCAACCCATGTCATAAAAATATTGTATTTTATTTTTACAAAAAAGAAATAAAAATGATAGAAATGGATATGGCCTTTATAATGAAATGCAGAATTATTCAAGAATGTTAAAAAGTAGGCTATTCAAATGAAGGCTGCACACTAGAGCTCTCCATGGTCCTGAACGACAGTTTGACTTCAATTATTTTAACTTTGTCTTTTTCATTTCAGTGCCTGTTTGATATTTTGGAGGTGTGTTTTGCTGCAGAGTCAAAATGAGCCCTGCAGCTGCTTGTTTGATTGACAGTCAGTCAGTTTAGGTGAACTGCCAAACCTTGGCAGATTTGCACTTGTGTCAAACTGATATCCAAAATTTGTGATGCTGTTTTAGAACCTAAACCTGCTGGAAACTTTTATGCAACTTTAACTACGGCTTGACCAGTCTGTTTGTCCATCAGGGATTCTTCAAAGCTGTATTTATACTCAGAATAAATTATTTTCTAATTAAACTGCCTACCAAAGCAATATTGACCTGGACATGTCAAGTATTAGAACAAAGTGTACAATTAAATACAAATAAGAGGCGAGAGGAGAAGACAAGATTCACTTATTTATTTATTTATTTATTTATTTATTTATTTATTTATTTATTTATTTATTTATTTATTTATTTTCATATCAAATGTTGTCTTTAATAGAGAAGCAGATGCTCCTTTCACTGCGCATACAAGTATTGCAACATCTTAATAAGGTTCCTTCACCCAACATTATCGATGGCCCCCATCTGGCCACCCCTTTCAAAACTTTCTGGACGTGCCACTGCAAGTGCTGTCCCATGTGGTGCGTGTGTGTGGCTCTCGCTCTCTGTGTGTGACAGGCGTCAAAAATACCGCCGAAGGAGCTCTGATCAGCAGATTTTCCACGCAGCTGTCCAACGCTCAGATGCGCAAAGATCCCAGAGACAGACCGAGGTGACAATGGGTGGAGAGTTCCTCATCTCCTGATTGTTAGAAAGAAGCGCATCGTTTTCAGCGCGGACTGACTCGACTTTACGTCACAATTTGAAGCTTTTAGACAACCAGTGAATGAAAAGATGTGGATAACTCGCAGTGCCGAACATTTAAGCGGTGTTTTTCCTGTTTGGAATCAGTGGGGTTCGCATTACGTAGCGCTTCTGTGTTTATTGTCTTCGCCGGTCAGGACAGATGACGCCTGCCCGTCTTCTTGCAGCTGTGCCAGGGACTCGGGGACTGTGACCTGCTTGCCTGATGGGGGCCAAACTGATCGACCTTCGGACATCCCGACATGGACGTCCACTTTGATACTTAGAGGTAGAAACATTTCAACTTTGCCTCAAGGCGCGTTCACTATCAACGGCACCGAGATGGAAATGGTGACACTCTCGCTTTCCTACAACGGGATACAGACTATTGAGCCGTACGCTTTCCTGGGACTCACCCGCTTACATTTGTTAGACCTGAGCCATAATCAGTTGGAAACTATCTCATCCAGGGCTTTCCATGGACTGACGGAGCTGCGCTCTCTTTTTCTCAATTACTCTGTTTCGCCCGATGCCACAGAGCAGCTTTCATGCGCACTCAGCGCGCAAAGTTTGCGGAACCTCCACAGACTGGAGCTCGCGGGGAATAGACTAAAGTCCATACCCATGGAAAGGTTAGATATGTATAACTTGCACTTTTTAGTCCTCATAAATAACTCAATTGAGAACATTGGGAGAGAAAACATTTCTAGTTTGTACCAGCAGAGACGAATACGCGTCTACTTGGCCTTAAATCCGTTTCGATGCAACTGTGACCTGGAAGTGTTTTACTACTGGTTAAAAAACTCATCGCAGTGCCAGGATGCTGAGCGGGTGTTTTGCAGTGAGCCGGAAGCGCGGAGGGGGGTCCCCGTGGAGAAGCTGCGGGGAGAGGACGTGGATTGTATGAACGAGAACCTGGAGGCAGTCTCATACGTGTTCCTCGGCATAGTGCTGGCTCTGATCGGAGTGGTGTTCCTCATGGTGCTGTATCTCAACCGGGGAGGCATCAAACGGTGGCTCAATAACATCAGAGAGGCGTGCAGAGACCAGATGGAGGTTTATCACTACCGCTATGAGCAGGACTCAGACCCCAGGTTGGCCAACGTGGCTGTTTAACTCAATGCTGGCACGAAAGGACAGAAGAGACGATGATGACTCAAGATGCTCATTAAAAGGGGAGAAAACTGGTCTATGACTTGAAAGTCTTAGTGAAAGCTAGAGACTAGTGCATCTCAGTAAAATAGAACATCATTGACAGTTAATTTCAATAATAATTTTATGGTTAGAGTTTTTGGGTAATGAAAATCAAAATTTCAGCTTCTCAGAAAGCTAAAACAGTCAGGAGGAAAACTTTAAAGTTATCCAGTCACTGATTCAAGCCACAAAAGGTCAGTGCTAGGAGAATCCCTTTTTCAACCATATGATTGAAAAGTTAAGTGGAAGGAGAAAGTGCAATAGAAAAGATGCACAAGCAGCAAGGAGACCACACTGGACATTGTCTACAAAAGTGACCTCCTCCTTCGTATTGTGCTGAAAACAAGTAGAGGATTGATTCCCTCTGGACACACACACGTATGAGCAAGAACTTGGAGATGGTTTTATTCCTGTTGCTCAGCATAATCCAGACAAGAGTGATATTTTTGATGATGCTGTATCTCACCTGGGAAGAACCAGAAGAACCTAGAACACAATCGTAATGAACAGGACTCAGATCCCAGGCCGGCCAATCAGGTTGTTTAACTGGGGCCAGTCTGAGTATAAGAGGAGCCCCAAACTGAATTTAATTTAATGGGCCTACTTACAAATAAGACCATTGTTCCCCGCAGCATTACTGTGTTTATTTGTATGAACATTTTTGCATGTATGACAATATGTTTTAGGTTTAGTGAGCCAAGTATGAGTCCCCAAAAGAGACAGTTTGCATTGTTTATGTAAGAAATTGCATTTGATGTGAAGTCTTTCTGGATGTGACCATTGTATATATCCTGTAGAAATTGGGTTATTTTTTCTGATTTACTCATTTGCTCTTGCAGTCATGTTTTGTGTATAGTCACCAGTTTAAAGCACTAGTTTAATTCTGCTGTGCTTGCAAGACAACATTCAAAAACTATGAATTACTTGTAGAGATCTATTTTGCAATTGCAATGTCAACAAAAAATGAATTAAACTCAAACATTTACAATAACTGAATAAACTACAATGAAAGGATGAATTTATGGCTACCCAACTATGAAAGCTTATGTGACTTTTCTTACCAACATCATGCTTCAAAACTTTTACATTTGAAGAAAGAAATATGAATTATGTTCAGCCTTCCATTTAGAAAATATGGGATCTTGCTAAATTCTCCATGCTGGAATTGGGAGGCCGTAACAATGGATTAGTTCTCTTATGCATTTGGACAGTTTTATGTTTAAATACGCTAGAAAAATTAGGCTAACAGAAGAGAAAAGAAGTCAGGATTTAATAGAAATACGTTTGGAATCAAGATCATGAAAAATATAAGGGACAGAAAATGGGTTCTTTATAGTTATTTCTAGATGGAGATCCAGACATGTAAATGACTTTTCTGTTAATGTTTTCACAACTGAAATGTAAACTTCTGAGGAGAACTGCACTTTCCATAAAAAGGGCTTAATGGGATGGATTTTTCAATGTGAAAAGCTCAAATAAAATCGTGACTCAGCTACTGTTATTCTTAGAAAAGTAGTTTGCTGCAGGCTCACAGATCCTACAGGGGAAACAAGATTATTCTGGTTTATTAGGTGGAGTGCAAATTATAAAAGAAAGATGACATGAGCAGGCTGGTGTATTTCCTGCTGAAATGAAATTAATCTTATTCATAAGATTAATTAATAATTATAATAGTTATAGATATTAATCATAATTATTACAACAATCCAAAAAAATCCCCTTTTTTTGGATTTTTTGCTAAAATCCAAAAAAGTGTTGTTATTTAAGGTTAGATATTTAACATTAGAAAATTACGTTTTAAATGTTCATAAATGTTCAGAAACATAGTAAATCATTACACATGATTGTTTCTTTAATAAAGGTGCTGATGATAATTATTAAGTGATGTTATGTTTTAAAGGCTGACTAAGGAGGTTTAAAACTGATCATTTTGATGCCACTTCTAAACTTTGCTCAACCAAAACAAAAAAAGTGAATAAATAACTTATTTTACATTTAGTGCCTTGCTAAAGTTTCTTCACTTCTCTTTTCCACGTTGTGTTTTGTAGCAACTACAAACTTTGACACATTTTATTGGGAATTTATGTGACACAATGATAAATGGCCTGAATTTTATCCAGTTCAGAAAACTCCAAATCACTTTACACTCTGCAGTCACTCACACACTGATGTTGATAAGCTACACTGTAGCCACATCTGCTCTGGCAGACAGAAGCAAGGCTGCCACACAGTCGATGCCGCTGGACCTTCTGACCATCACCAGCAGGCGAAGGCGGATGAACTGTCTTGCTCAAGGACACAATGACTGACACCAAGAGAGAAGTTGGGTTTTGAACTGGCAGCAGGATAAATCCTCATCTCCTGAGCCACAGCTGCCAATAGAATATACACCAAGAAAAACAGAATTTTATGAAGTGGAAAGTAAATTATACATTAATTTTCAATTGGATTATTTACAAATCTGCATTTAGGTGCTTTCGAATAGAAATTAGTTTTCTTTCTTTGGTGTCATCTATTTAACTTAATTCAGTTTCCCACAGGATAATTTTTCCATAAGTTTCTGAATAGGTGATGAGCACCATCAAAAATGTTTCTTATGGCTTTCTTTCAAAATGGGCTTTCTTATTTCCACTTGTCCTTAATGTTGAAAATTGCTAAATGCTCAACTTATGGGTTGATTCTCCCACCTTGGCAATGTTGATCTGTGTTGGTCTGAGCCACCATCAGCTGCTTGTCTGTTTCTCTGCCTAGAACCAGATTGATTTTTTTTTTCTTTCGTTTTGAGGTATTGGAGTAAAAGGGAAGATAATACATATTGGTGAGCACATTTTGAGCTTTCTATTGTGAAAGTGATTGAAAACCAGTCATTGTGCCCTTCATTCTGTTGTAACATTACATAACGTTACACATAACATTACGCAACATTACGTAACATTACGTTATTTTATTTACATAAAATGTAAGTAAAATACTTTGAGTTTTTTCTTGTACCATAAGAAATGCATATAAATAAAGTACCAGTTACTGAGGAGATCAATCTCTGATGAGACAACAGAGTGAAGCAGAATTGTTCCCTTTAGCACAATAAGACAGGAAGATGTGGATTGATCTATATAAATGAAATACTGAGCTCACGAAGATCGTCATTAGAAAAAGAGGAAAACAGTGACATTATACAGAAAATCAGAGGAAATCAGATGTGTTGGATGGATGAAAAGATGCTTTTTCCACTTATTCAACATGTGTTTCATACCAAACCCTCCTATATTATTTGTGGATGACAAGGTAAATCTTTATTACGTAGTGTTTACAAAATCTATGTTTTTGTTGATGATTGTAGAAAATATGCATGTTTTTAGTTCCATATCTCCTGAAGGAGTATAGAGGTTATCATGTTTTACCTTCAAATTTGACTCACTGTATACAGTGACAATGTAAAGATTGTTTATTTTCCAGCCTTGTTTGAATTACAGCTTATGTGGGTTTTTTAAACTATTGCTTTGACTATACCATTGGACAAGAACTTTGAGGTACTGATTTATACGGATCAGTGCAAATGTGTCAGTTAAAATTAATGCTCCTTTTTCTTTACAATCTTTAGCAGTGGCTAAAGGAAATGTTTTGTGACAAATTATATTTATATCCCATAAAACATAAATTACCCATAAAAGGCTCCAGGATATTAATCGACTTAAATAATGAAAGCATAAATGAAAATAGTTGTGGAGGGTACAATGCTGCAGATTTAAAGTTTTTCATGCACTGCATGCAATAAGTATAAATGAAGGTAACATTAGTTTTTCTCCTGCTAGAGGTCAGAGTTCTCCAACTCCAGTCCTTGAGAGTCATGCTCTGCAGCTTTAAGATGCATTCTTGCTCAAATACTCATGGATCATGGAAATCACCAGGCCATTGCCAAACATGACGGTGGGCTGAGTAGGTGATTCCACCATTAGCTTCAGCTGTGTTGGAGTTCGGATACATCTAAAAGCAGCTACTGGATGACGGCTATTGAGGACTGGACTTGGAGACCCCTCCACGAGATCCAAGTGTTTTACTGAGTCAGCATCGTAAGGCACCGTCATGCAGTAATTGTATCAGAATGTGACACCATGTCAGCTCTGGAGGGACTCCTGTAGCATTCACTGTCCTGTTGTATGTTATGGTTTAAGAGATAACCTAATTATCAAGACAGCCTTGTCAAAGGATACAGGCATTCGTGTGCAGTACATTCATGTTCCACTTAAAAGGAGGCTGCAGCAGCTTTGCAAGACTTCTCTGAGTCCAGTAGAAAAGCAACATTTAGTTTCCTCTTCAAAAAGCATTTCATAACTCAGATAAATGATCCAGAAGTAACTTACAGGTCACTTTGATGACAGCCTGATCAGAATCTCCTAAAGCCACAGAAGGGAGATTTATTCTTTCCTGCGTAATCTTATTTAGTAGAAAATGCGCTAGACAATCCTTTATGAAAGGAAAAGAGATAATAACATCCCACAGCTGCTGCACCATTCATTGAGAAGCTTATTTTTTGTGCAGTTGCACAGTTTGAAATGTTCAAGCATAATTCTGAGAATAACAGAGTGAACTCCTTTAGTGATGTTTTTTTCAGCAAGTCATCAATGACCTGCTGAGTTCCTGAAGTTAATTTAATGAAACTTGTTACATGTCCTGTCACATTTTGTTCAATGTTCTTCTTACTCTGCCTCGCTTTATTGGGTTTGACCAAGGCTGCTGGTGAAATTAATATCGGAGAGATTTCATAAAAAATAAAATCCAATAAGGCTGTGGCATCACGCTATTCACTGATGTCCCTAAAAATCTTGTGAAACCTGGACAGCCTAACAATTAAAACTGATAAAATTGTCAATTAAAGCATTATTCAGAAAAGCAGGCAAGTGCCTGGCTTTTGGAAAATCCACATAAAGTCCTGTTTGCAGTTTTTCCAAAATCTGTGGAGGGAACTCAGCAAACGTGGAAGAAAGCAGGACATGTTTGCTGAACAAAACAAAACCTTTGGGCCAGATTTTATTTTGTTTGTAGGATGTCTAATTATAAAAAAAACTGAGGCGTTCCAAAAGAAAACGCAAACTATGAAAATGTCCTATATGTAATGTCAATATGAGTTTTTCTTTGAAACATATCAAACTGGTTCTATGCCTATTGTGCACAAAAAAAATCATTATTTTTCAGAGTTTTTTTGTGAGACTTTAATAATTTTTAGTTTTAGTTTCTCCTGAACTTTTGCCCAGCTCACATACAGGAACTAAAATTGTTGCCAACTTTAAACTGAACTTTGTTATAATCTCAGAATCAGGTGCATATCTTCCTATTTCTCACCACATGCACAAAATAAGCAAATTATTCACTGGGCCTATAGTGTCTGTAATAATGCTCGCAGAATTATTGCTCTAGTTGCAACCTGCACCTGGTCTTCTGATAAACACAGACACAAGCAAAATGTGTTTTTGTTCATATGACATCTGCGTTGTGCAATTCAACCTTGCAGTTTTTTTAGCCTGCTATAAGTCAGAATAGTCAGAGACAGATTTAAGGTGAATCACAACATTGTCTCACCCCACACAATGAATGTAAATAATTCAGTACAGAGGAAAACAAAATATTGTGTAAAATAGAATAACATGCTTCCCTACCTGAGCTTTGTTCAAATTGATAGTGTAGCCTGTAATTATGTTCCCCAAAAGTTAATTAAAAATTTTACCTGTTTTCATTTTTGTGTACACCAGAATTTGCCATTTTAAAAGTTCAGACTTTACTGTACATAACTAATATCTCTTCATCTTTCCTGGGTGTGCAAAAAATAAAGTGATGTCTGTCAGTGCATCTTCCTCATATTGTGTCTGAGTTTTTCCTTTATTATATGAGATTCAGTCCCATAAATACTTGTGAAAAACACTTTATTCTATTGTCGGTTCAAAACATCCAGTTTATTCATGCCACCTACCCTCCTTTACTCCTTATTTTTCCACATTTTCTTTACAAATAATGGTTTGTCAAAGACATCTTCGCCCACTACCTCCAGCTGCTCGTCTTTCCTGCTCCTCTTCATTCAGGTAAATGACTTTATCCAGTTGAGTGACTTTGTAAGGAGGCAAGGACAGTGTTTTAGCTGAGCCCAGCAAATGGGGAGAGCAGCAGCAGAGAGATAAAGAAAAGGGAGGACGAGTAAAGATTCATTAGAGGGATTTTTTATAGTTCAGGCACAAAATGTCCTTGCCTTATGCAAAGCAATGACTCACCCTTTGCTCCATGTGTGAATGACTGGGAGGCCGAAGCTTCACTGCAAACTGGACTTATCAACAAAGCAGTGAAGTCCGCTTTGTTGTGTTTTGGTAATTCACAATATGACATGTTTTATATTTTAAGTTTCAAAGTTCATCAGTTTTCTATTGTTGCAAATGCATCAGTAAGAGATTCGGACTAAACAAAAGGAGACAGTGAATCTCTGGATTATTGTGCGCTAATATTTTGTTTTAAATTCAGGGCTTTACAAAACATTTGTAAACCTGATATCTTAAAGTTTCAGTGCAAATTTTAAGATATGTTACTGTGATTTTATGACATAAGCCAACAGGTTCACAGTCTTTTTTTTATTATTATTTTTTCACAAAAAGGGCTCAAATCAATTCTCTTACTGTTTTGGTTACATCCATTTTCCCATCAACTGACCAGACTCCGTCATCGTGGTAAGAACAGTTTCCATTTTGCACCACTGTTTCAACATGGGAATACTATTTTTAATGTGATGCAGAGTGTGACCAGGACTTTCTTATTACCACTTATTATATATCAAGGCCAAATTTCAGCATAGCATAAAGAATAGTAGACCTGTCACTCCTACTGGGCAGCAAATATCTCTGCAAATAACAGAGAAACACAACCTTGGATAGCAAACAGCTTATTATTCATATGTCAAAAACAAAATGCTGCCTCAGCTGAGTAAATATTTCATGTTGACCTTCACTCAATAGAAGCTGCTGATTCTTCATCTGGCCATAATGTTTCTGCAAAGTAAGAGGCATCATCTGCTCCGACAGCCTGTCTGTCACTATATACACTTTAAATAGTCCTTTCTTTTCCATCATCCCATCTACTACATTATGAGTTTTACAGGCAAAACCATTTCATAAAAGCAGAATATTTTTTTTTTCCGGTTTTGGATTTTCTACTCTGACCAGCAAACTCTGTGCAGCAATCCTTCACTACTAAGCTCTGTTGCCTCTATGCAAACTTTTTCATCACAGTCATTTTCAGCTTTACAAGTTGATGCTGAAAAAAGCCTGAGCCTGATGAATCATGTCTGCAAATAAACCTTTTCGACTTTTATACTTTACAAGTATGTCCCTCTCTGAAGACTTGCCAGTAGATGAACCGCTATCATTAATTAAACCTGCTAATTACCGCCCTCTCGTGGTTAAGTGGTGAAACTGCAAATATTCTAAGTCAGCGCAGCATGTTTAACATATTTCCTTCAAAATCCTGTCACAAAAATAATCTTTTTGTTCATAAATATATTTTTTTATGCAATGCAATACAAATGGTGAAGACTTTCAGAAATCAGATCCACCTTCGGTTGTTTTAGAAACTCTTTAGGAAAACATTTTCATTCTTGTTGATATTGGATCTATATTAACTGAAATTCTGCAAATTTATAATTTAATAGATATAAATAAAAAAAAACTCAACAACCACTGAATACATGTAGCATATCATTTTGATAATGATGTGAAGTTCTGTTTTAAAAGCCAACATACAGAATTTATTATTTTTGTTCATCTGAGACTGCAGGTGTAGCTTCTTGTTGATGGAGAAGGTGGTTGTTTGGCAATAGAGGCTCATTTATTTCATGTTACATCCCTCCCTATTATTTTACCGTTTTAATTGCAAGAGTGCACAACCTTCTAATGGGTGCAAATGAGATTAATTAGGCTTAAGCTTGAGCAGTAAAAGCTTTGTTTGTTATAAAGAAGGTCATTAACCAGCATCCTTGGGAATGACATCACAAATAGGACTCATTAACCGGGCTCCCAGGAGTCAAAGAGGCAGAAGAGGATCATTTTATCTAGGGTCACTGAGCTCTGTTTGGTGACAAAATGTCCCCCTAGGGAGTACTGTTCATTACCAATGTCATTATTGTTGAGTCATTTCCTAAATAACAACTTTATACAAAGCAGCAAAGTTTCTCTGAGGAGACTAATGAACCAGCCTTGTCTAATGGTGCATACAATTACTGTGTTCCTAAAGTTTTCTTATAACTAATCAGTGTACAGTCAAAGCTGTAAATATTACATTTCTATTCTTCTATTCTTGCTATTTTATTGAAATCCAAAGAAGTGGATAGTAAACAATTTACAGAGATTTGTAAACACATTATTATTCGATTGTCAGAAAACTTTGATTTTCACTCAGAAAATCCACAATGGACACAATTTCCTTATAAAATATTTGACAATATTTGACAGAAATGACAATTTCTTTTGAATTTTAGTTGGAATATTGAAACAGCAGGATATGTCAAAATTGCAGAATATCTTAATGTTACATGTGTTGGAAGTTCACAAGGATAAGCAGCAAAATCTTGATGGAGGTTTCTTCTTGTAAAATGAAAGTGATTCCGCTCCAGCAGTGTTATCACACTTTCACATAATAGGATGTTCTTGGAAAGTCAGTGACTTTTTGCAGTTGACTGGGCAGATTTTACCAATCTGCCTTTAATTATTATATTTTCCGTTGGATTAAAAATTGTGTCAACTTAGATGTCATGCAATAGAATTAGAATCTAATCTAACTTGAACTACATGTTGACTGATTTTTTTTTCAGTCAACATTTGCAAACACACTTGTTTGCAAAATACATTAATATTAGCTCTCATCAACTGTGATTTTTATTTATCAACGAGAAACTACAATAAAATAAGATGAAATCCAGAATAAATTAATATATTTAGTAAGTTTGAAATATTCTGTTTGAAACATTAAATATTTTGTCTAGGACATTAAGCACAGTTATTCATTTTCTCACAGTTATAAAACTGACTTAAAATTAGCATTTGTCAATAATTAATTTGTACAAACTTGGTCTTAAGGAATTAATGACTTATTAGTGACTGTATACTGAGCATATAAATGATTGCTTTGATCATGTAATCATCTGAAAGTTCTATAATTCTGGTTTCAAATTCACATTTCGAGACGATTTTAGGTGCTGGAATTTCGCTTCGCAGCGGAACCATTGGAACAGAGCAGGTTTTCTGGTGACACTTCCGGATTCCGCGTAAACATGTCCCCTTCCTCTCCTCGTAGTTTAGGTTGGTTATGCAAACGCAATGAAGCTTTGCGCTCTATGAGAATGTGCTTTATGCTCTACAATAGAAGGAAAATGATGGACTGAGCGGGCAAAATAAGAGAGGTATCATATTTTTTATTATTATAATTATTAGCAAGCATTTAATCTTATCGCCTTTCCTTAGTTATTGGATGTAAAACTTTATGTGAGAAGCAGCAGTTACGGAACAAAGCATTTGGAGTTATATTATTTGTAATAATAACAACACTAAGTGTTCGGCGGAAGTGGGGGAAAATTAATTAAAATGTATATATAGTAATTTAATTTTAGAACCTTGTAACCATGTAACAAAATCATGCAGGTACGTACAGGTGATGAATGGCCCACCTGTGATCATTAATCAAAGAGGCACATGGGAAGTAAAATAGGAGAGAGAATCAATTTGTGCATTGCAGTTTTCTATGAATTAGTTTTTCTTATTGGTTTATCAAAATTTGCTTTGCTTGTAGGAATATGGAGGTGCAATGTTGTGCCTCGAGGTGGCGCTGTCAATTAAGTTAGCAGGCAGTTGGCGCATGCTCATTGATGTCTCTCTTTAGATCACGTATATACTTGCTCAGTTACACGTTATACATATTTTTGATATTGCATTGTATGTTTAATAAATGTCACTGACATATTTATTCTTTCAGATTGGCCATAAATGCAGTGAACATTCAGTGTGAGGCAGAAAGTACCATGCCTCACCGTTAGGGGGCAGCGTTGAACCCCAAACACACAACAGGAAACAGGTGATCTTCCTCTACATATTGACTAAAACAGTGGAAAAAATACAAAAAATTAAAGTCAGATTAGAACCATTCAAGGAGCAATGTACAAGAAGTACAATATTCTGTTTTTTCTAAACATATGCAGTTGATGATTTTTAGATACGAATTCTGACCAGATCTTGTTTGTCTTTCTACTTTTGCTGATTTCCACAGCCCGAGTCAGTGTTGCGTACATAAATAAGAAGGATGTCTTATCCTTCACCCCATGACCGCACCCGTAAAGGTGACGAGGATGACCCCGTTGATCAGATGATATCCCGTACTGGCTGTGCTGAGCTACATTATGCTGTGCAAGAGTGCATGGCTGAACATCAGGACTGGAGAGTCTGCCAGAAGCAGGTTCAGAGCTTCAAAGACTGCATGACAAATTTCCAAAACGCTCAGAAAGAACGGCGGAAAGCCCAATTGCAGACCTCTAACAAGTCAACTAGTTGAACTCACAAATCCATGTGGTTTTGGGATAAGTTCAACAACTGTCTGTGACACTTCTAAAGCCAAACACTGTAATAAATGTCTGAATTACCAATTAAAATAAACTTTGAAAAGTGACATTGCTTGAACTTTTAAATATACAACATTGATTGGCTGAGTGGCTTTAAATCTCAACTAAAAACCTACCTGTTTAAGTTTCTTTTGAAACAATCAATGAAACATCAATAAAAAATCTGATGTGTATCAATGGCACTTGACAATTGTTGAGTGTGTGTTCTACAACTTTGTATTTTTATGTGTTTGTTTTTAGGATATAAAGCACTTTGAACTGCCTTGTTGCTGAAAAGTGCTATACAAATAAATTTGATTGATAAATTCCTTCAACATGTATTCCTTTTTATTTGACCGCTAAACAGTTTGAAAAACAGATTTAAAAATCTGCAACACGCCCCTACAATTCAGGGTGTTTAATAAGTACATCCTGAATCTTATATAATATTGAAGCAACTTTAAATTTCAGTTTTGGATGTCAGTCTACTTTGGTATGTTTGTCCACATTTCAGATCTTGACCTCTGTCCTCAGATTACCCAGGTAATGAAGACACGTTTGTCCACTGTCCTTTCCAGGAGACATCTTGTGGGATTTAGTTCTATTCTCTGTTAAAGTCACTCATAGACAATTTTATTTTTCTGGTAAAGTCGTTCTTTTGTTGATTCAGATTGATTAGGAAAAGTCAAAAATAGTTTTATCTCGTTCTCAGCAGCTGAAGGTTGTAGGTCATAACCGACAAGTACAGGTGTGTCAAACTCATTTTCGTTTTGGGCCAAATCAAGATCATGAAGACTCTTAAAGGGCCAGAATGTGTTGATAAAACCTGTTCACAAACTGTTAATATATCAATGAATTCTTAAAATTACGTAATATTCTTGAACATCTTTTCAGTCCCTTCAGGAACTAATAATAAATGCGACTGTTTATTTACTCGCTGTATAAATCATGGACTATAATCATACATCAACTAAATTCTCAAGAAACTGGAGGGATTGATTGATATAAATTGGCAGTAAACAGATAAAAACTGCATTGATATGATTGATAATATAATATTTAATCACACTTAGTGTTTAGTCTACACTGTGGAGGGACACATAAAAAGCTTCGGCGGCCGAATTTGGCCCCCGGGCCTTGAGTTTGACACATGTGGACTAGTATTTGTAGCTTTTTATAAATTGTCCCACATTCAGATTTTTATAACAGACAATGTAACTGTTTGTGCTAAGATACAAAAAAATCAGCAGGTATCCATCTGTTCAAGTTAAATTACTCTTTTAAAAGTTAATGGAATTGATGTGCAAGCTTAAAGATATTGCAATTCCAGTAATGAACAATTGGACTTCTCCATAGACCAAATTAGTGAAATAAATAAGGTATTTCATAATGGCTTTCAAAGTTTAAGTTAATCTCATGGGATAAACAGGAACATATATTTTTTCTGTTACGCAAGTCACATTCCCAGCTGTCCGCCTGCAGCTTCGCAGATATAACCCATGCAGTGCTGCAGCGAAACAACGCTGATGGAACATCAGGTGAGCTGATTTACTTAGTTTTTAGAACATCTTTGATATCAGTATTTCAAATAAACATCAACACTTTGTTTTTCAGACATTACTTTTAAACAGACGCCTCTTTCAACAAAAGCTTTGCAGATGAGTGATGTCTTCCTTTAGATCTGTTTCAAACAGTTCTGTCATCATTCACCCTCCAGGCTTCTACATCTTTGGATTTGATTCATTTCCCTTCATATCTGTGTATTTCATCTTCCTGGCATTTGTTTATGTGTTTTCAGTGATGTTTAACTGCTTGCTAATGTATACAATTGCTGTGAATCGCAGTTTGCACACTCCGAAGTTTCTGGCCATCACCAACCTGGCAGTGATAGATTTAGTCTTTAACTCCTGCACCATTCCTGGCATGATAAAGATTTTTCTAATCAAGGATAACTTTATTCCATTTAACCTGTGTCTCGTACAAATGTTTGTATATTATGCATTTGTAGCACTAGAATCATATGCACTCACAATACTAGCTTATGACAGGCTGATTGCTATATGTTTCCCTTTGAGACAGAACTCAGTCAACACAGTGTGCAGCATGTGCTGCATTATCAGTGTTACCTGGTTTTTAGCTGTTGGAGTGGCAGCATTTTCAACAATCATAATGACCCGACTGTCTTTTTGCAACTCTGTCAGAGTGGTTAGTTATTTTTGTGACTATGCACCTGTGTTTCGACTTGCCTGTAATGATAACTCATTGCAGTGGTCCACAGCTTCATTCTCCTCCGTTTTTCTCCTTGGGGTGCCTTTTGTTTTATTTTCCTCACTTATGTGAGCATCCTGGTGACTGTGTTCAGGATGAAATCTGTGGACCGACGAATGAAAGCTTTGGCCACGTGTGTTGAACATATAACTGTTGTTGCTATATTTTACATTCCTATTTTTGTTATTTTTGCCATTGGGTTTTATTCAAGGGTAGTTGAACCAGAGAAGAGAGTTCTGAGTCTGTCGTTGGCATCTTGTCTGCCTCCTTGCATTAATCCTATTGTTTATTCTCTGAAAACTAAAGAGATCAAAATTAGAGCATTGGCTATCTTTAGAAAATCTAAAATTAATGCAAAAATCTGAGCAAAATCCAAATCAATCCTCGTAGTGTATAGAAGTAACAAATAACTGAGAAAAAAAAACTGAACAGATCTCGTCTGCTTTTTCCTCTTTTTTTGTTTTCTCTTTGTCGTCTTAAAATTTACATAAAGTTTTCAGCAAATTTCTTGATTTTCTGGAACATTTCTTATCTGATTTCATTTTTAAATCAAGGTATTTTTTTTACTTAATTCTTATATAAGGATGCATTTAACTGTAGTCTGTTGAGATGTCTCCTCATCTAATATTTTAATATTATACTGTGGTGCAATTTTTGTAATCTGCCTCTTGTAAAGTCAATTAAAACTAAGGGTTCAGTTTACCACAATTGTCTTCTGAGGCTTGATTTTATGTGTAGATATGATTTAAATTTTGTCACATATTTGAATTATCTAAGTGAAAATTGCTTGGAACAGTGCCTTGAATATACATTTTATACAATGAACAACCTTTGCTTTAACTGTTTTACTTCACCTTGTTACATTTACTGTTTAACTTTAACTTAGTTGGTTAATTTAGGTTCTTTAAAGACCCGTAATAAATAAGAAATAAAATAGTCTAAAATGGAAATGAACTTTTATCAGATTGATTAAAATGTTTCACAATTCTGAAAGATTTTATGCCTGTTCTGCAGTATTTTTATTCTATCATGAATATTTATGAAGATATTAAAAATGACCAGCATTATGATATGGTAGCTAATGTTGCAAGAATATTTTTTAATGTAAAGTTTAAAAGTAAAAGTATGCAACATTCTTTTTTCTGGTACATTATATTTATATTTGATTATCATATTTCCATTAATTCCATATAATAAATAATATTTACAGTGAAGCCGAGAGGCAGTAAAAGGATAAAAGGCTGACCTCTAGTGGTTAAATGTGTGAAGTGCAACTTTGATTCATTGTTTTATGAATTTAGATAAAATATTATCTGTTTAAAACACATAATAATCCCGCCAAATATCATGTTAAATACAACAACTGAACGTTTGGGTGAACGAAACACTAAATAGGAAGCAGCAGAAGATGTAAATTTACATATTAACATATTTTGGCTGCTGTGTATATTAGCTTATCACAATAACATCATCATGAAAACAGCTTAGCCTATAGAAGAAATGATAAAAGCCTGTAGTTAAGATTTTATTTGTTAAAAACAGCAACAGTGTTGGGAAGGTGGGGATATGAGGGCCTCTGTGCAGAAGCAGCTCATCTACAAACATCTGGTGAATCATTCAAACAAGAAAAGCAAACGATCTTGTGATCATGTTGACTAAGAATGGAAAGGGAGCCATAGTCTGTAGTGAAATGAGTGCAGCAACAAGAGACTTTTTATTAAGTCTCTAATATAAGGAGACTTAATGAGAAAGAAGAAATGACTTCAAAAATCTGATGTGCGCTGATATAACTAGACTTGATGTGTTTCTCCATCATAACTTTACAATTATACAATATGGGGGCTGGCAGTTTATTGAGAGACTGGGACAGTGGGTCGGGGTTGCCCCTTCTTCTGGATTATCTCTGGCCCCAAATTAGTCTACCTGCCTACCCAATCACTTTTCATGTATTCTATTTTATTTTATTTAAAACAATTTTTAAAAAATAAGGAAAACAAGTAACCAGTAGGATGAAACAAGATTATTTTCTGAGCTGCAGCAGCATCCCATCCATCCATTTTCTGTTCACCCTTCTCCCTTCTCCAGCTTCCCTCCGGGGTTGACCCAGGACGGGTCGCCAGTCTGTCACAGGGCAACACAGAAACAGACAAGACAAATAACCATGCACACACTTAGGGAGAATTTAGAGAAACCGATTAACAGTCATGTTTTTGGACTGTGGGAGGAAGCCAGAGTACCTGGAGATAACCCACGCACGCACAGGGAGAACATACAAACTTTGTGGAGAAAGACCCTGGGCTGGGAATCGAACCCAGGACCTTCTGGCTGCAAGGCAACAGTGCTTCCAACTGCACCACTGTGCAACTTCTCCTGGATTAATTGAATCCACTTCCTATGCTGTTGCTGATCCGTTTCAAATCTTTTTCTGATCACACAGTCATGAAGCTTCATAGAGGCAGAGATAATGATCCTTCATGTATTCCCTTTGTCTGCAAACAGATTCTATGAAATTGCAGATACTCTGACTGGGTCCTTATCACGGGTTCCAGAGTGAGATCTGAAGACCTCATGTTCTTCATTATGATTGACAGATGATGTGCTTTGAATTTCTTCCTCCTCTCTCTCTTCTTTGTTCTTCCTCTGTGTCTTTGAAGTCTCTCATTTTAGCTCATTGGGGATTTGGGATTAGGTTACTTTTTGTAATCAATTCAGCTGCTGCGAGATGGAGAAAAAAAATAACAAACTTCTAGCTGCACAGTATCTAAATCCAGAATGAAAAATCTTTTTGAAAGTAATCATTTCCAGCAGAAAAATGTTGCAGTATTGAAAAAAAAGGATTACAATGCTTGGAATGAAACAGCCACAATATTTATTTATATTTCTAGACCATTAGAAAATGAGGAAAAGATGATGTGCAAAATTGTGTGCATACAGAAGCATACAAACAATAATTTCAATACAAATAAGTAAATGTTTAACTTTTGAAGATTAAAATTGTAGGAAGTCAAAAAAGTTGACAATCACATGGTTCCGGGAAATCTCACATTATTTAAAAAAACTAACAAAGAAAAGCTCAAACATTAATATGTACATTGGAAACAACAAAGATCAGCAGATATAGCATGTTTTAAGGCAGCACATCAAAATATGTTTTTTTTTTTTTTTACAGATTCAACCAGTTGATATAATTTGCAATAGGCTGTGAGTAGCAATTCCACTTTCAGGTAATTAGATCTTTGTTTTGATCACAACAAACAAGAAGTGCAAGCCAAGAACTCGGTCTCTCAATGGACCAATTTACTAGAACAAATTTCACAATTACTTTTCAACAGTAATCTCATGGGATATGCTTTAAAATATTTCCCAGATACACACGGTCACATTTGCAGGTATCTTCCTGAAAGAAGTCTCAAAACGAGTTGCAGTGAGCAAAACAGAAGGAACACTAGGTAAAGCAATTTCAGACTAATTTAGAATATGCAGTACTGATTGTTTCCGTTTTGATTTTGCTTGTATTTCTGAGAAAGCTTGTCTTTTCTGTTTTCAGATAAAAGAAATTGAAGCAGAGGCTCCATCTTTCAGCAAACACTGTGGGAATCGGTGATGTCTTCCTTTAGATCTGTTTCAAACACTTCTGTCATCATTCACCCTCCAGGCTTCTATATTGTTGGATTTGAGTCGTTTCCTTTTATATCTGTGTATTTCATCTTCCTGGCATTTGTTTATGTGTTTTCAGTGATGTTTAACTGTTTGCTGATTTATACAATTGCTGTGAATCACAGTTTGCACACTCCAAAGTTTCTGGCCATCACCAACCTGGCAGTGATAGATTTAGTACTTAACACCTGCACTATTCCTGGCATGATAAAGATTTTTCTCATTAAAGATAATTTTATTCCGTTTAACCTATGTTTTGTTCAGATGTTTGGATATTATGCATTTGCATCTCTGGAGTCTTATGCACTCACTATACTGGCCTATGACAGGCTGATTGCCATATGTTTCCCTTTCAGGCAGAACTCAATCAACACAGTTCGCAGCATGTGCTGCATTATCAGCGTTACCTGGTGTTTTACTCTGGGAATAATAACATTCACTACAAGCTCAATGACACGACTGTCTTTTTGCAACTCTGTCAGGGTGTTCAGTTATTTTTGTGACTATGCACCTGTGTTTCGACTTGCCTGTAATGATAACTCGCTGCAGTGGTCTGCATCTTCATCCCTCTCTGTTCTGAACCTGGGAGGACCTTTCATTTTCATCCTGTTCTCCTATGTGAGCATCCTGGTTACTGTGTTCAAGATGAAATCTGTGAACCGACGAGTGAAAACTTTGGCCACATGTGTTGAACATATTATTGTTGTGGCTATATTCTATATTCCTCTCCTTGTTATTTTCAGCATTGGGTTTTATGCTGGAGTTGTGGACCCAGAGAAGAGAGTTCTGAGTCTGTCGATGGCATCTTGCATGCCTCCTTGCATTAATCCTATCGTTTATTCTCTGAAAACTAAAGAGATTAAAGTCAGGACACTTGCTTTGTTTAGAAAAACCAAAGTTAACTCAAAAACATAATTAAACTCCAATCCTTTTCACATTACGGTGGAGTAATAACCTAGGAACTGAACAAGGATGTGCAAACAGTAACTGCTAGCAACATAAATATACGTTTCTGTAAAATTGGTCAAGTTTGTGGTTTGAATATCAGCACAATTCTGTATCAATGTGTCTAGTGAACAGAAACAAGAGCCATACATCTAATGAAATTAAGTCTTGATTAATGCAATTCATTCTCTATTTTTATGTTTTATAAATAGCACCTGCTTGTCCTTGTAGCCAAACAAATGTACCAGGACTTAGAACGAATAAATAAACTCCTAACCATGTTTCAATGTAAATGTCATGTAAATACTTCATGGCAGATAAAAACTGCACCTTGTTTCCTTGTTTCAGAAGAAACGTTCCAACTATCCTTGTTTGCGGTTGTAAAATTTTATTTAGATATGTGTCTGCAAAACTAATTTGTTGATTTTTGTGATTTGTTTGGAGAACAAAAATCTTACCAGTCTTTTAAAAATGTTAAGTTTCCTGTTTATAGAAAAAAATATTTCAAATCCATAACTGTTATCTGCAAACACATTTACAACTTTATTATGAATGCAAAATGTCTACATGTATCTAACACCCTGCGTCAGTGACAAAACATTTTCTCAAGAAAAATGTATGGATGAAGAGATTTTTTTTTTATTGAATCTGTTTATCTTAGGCAATAATTCTATTTTGGATAAAAACTTTGCAAACATACAACACCTGGCCAACATCACTCCTAAGAGTAGTCAAATTTTAACTAATGTCAGGAAAAGTACATTTATTCAGCTGGATAAACTGTGTTAGAACAAGAAAAATAAGGTGCTGATTTTATTTATATGAACATTTTGTTGGTTTATTATAACAGTGAGTCAGAACTACTTGTTAATATTTCTGCAGAGTAAAACGGAAAGAGAACCTCTAATGTTCAAAGCCTGACCTATAGAGGCATGATAGATATAATACAGATTTGGAAACATCTGAAAACTGAAAATGTCTCGAAACGGGTCAGTTGTATAATTACATTTACCTGAGTGGCCTTTTCCAAATAAAAGAAAGAAAGAAAAAGTTCTTCTGTGCGTATTTTCCTGCTCCATATTTTTTAAACCTTTGCTTGAATGATGTTATTTTAAAGTAACACTTTTTGTACTTGAGTACAGTTTCTTGCTGTCCACCTCCAGTTATTTTTCTGAATGAAGAGCAGGCATGTTTTAACAAGACACACTGTTTAGGTAAAACTGAGATTTCTTTATGCATTCATTGTTTTAATGTTGTTTTCTATCTGCTGGGCAAACTCTACCAATTGGAAGTTAATACTTAACAAGATGTTTTTAATGGTGGCACTTTGCACTCTTCTAAAATAAGTGATCTACTGCATTGGCTTTAAAAGTTTTATTGTGAGGAAGTTGTGAATTTATTGTCATTGTAATTCATTTTGTATCTGAACAAAATTTGTATTTACAGAGAAAACCTGTCCCATTTAATATATTTATCTTCTCATAACCTTTACAAAGAAATTAAGATTTGACTATACTGATGTGACCAACTCTTTTTTGGTATTTTAAACGTTTCTTTTTGTTATTTAATGCTTTTTAACACTAAGTTAAAGAGCATAAAATCTAATAAAAACTTCAGGATTCAAATTTTCATTTTATATCATAATATTTATGTTCTTAAACCACTAATTGATGACTTGATTTTTCCTTTAAAGTGCAGCACTTGGTCTGGAACACTAGATGTCCTCAGTTTCTAGTTTTCTTCTCATATTGTATTTGCACCGCCTGCTTCCTGCAATCAATTTTGTTACATAAACTCTGCTGTTATGCCAATATTAATTATTTTTTTTCTCATTATGATGATGAGGGAGCGGCGTTTTCCAATAGCATCATGTCTCTCAGCACTCATGAAACTAAAGGATGATACAAAATAGTGTGACCAGGTCTGATGTTGGGAGAAAAACCAGTTTAAACCAGTTGTTTTAACAGAGCCAATACTATGTGTAGGTTTGGAGAGTTCTCATTGTGTCTGCAATGCGTCACACAGTGACACTCTAATGGTTTATAATATGAGGTAGCTGAAAGTTCATTAGACTTACACGGATATTAAACATTACTGAAAAAATATATTATTATTGTATTGTACAAACAGAGCACAATGTCATTAAGCCCAGGGAAGTTATTAGTATTTCTTTCATTACGAGATACTACATTAAATTAATGTACAGAATCAATTGAGTCTCATAATCTAAAAATCCATTTCAAGGATGAATTCCTCACTTCTCTAGGAAACTATTTTTACTCTATTGGTTAATGGTCTGTATTTGTTCAGCACTTCATTTAGTGCAGAGGACTCCAAAGTGTTTACGCTACATTCAGTCATTCATACACACATTCACACACTGATAGTGGTGGTAAGCTACACTGCTTTTTATATTGTAATGAAGTGGGATTTTTGCAGTAGTTACATCACAATGAGATGCTCTTTAACTTAAAAAGACAAGCAAACTTTTTGATGAGAATTTACAACTTTATTTTTTATAATTCAGCCTTGAACACTAGATGTCCTCAGTTACATGTTTCTATCACCATTTTGCATTTTACCTACATGCTTTCTGCAATGAACTTTTCTACATTGACTTGTTTCATAGTGCAAAACAATGTGCTGATCTGTACTTTCTGGACAACATTCACAAACAACCAATTGTAAATATGTCTACTAATCACTTCAGACATATCTAAGCATACTTCCAAAAACACCACTGCACGAAAAATGTCCTGTATTTAAAAATAACACTTATCTGAAATACATCATATTAACAAAAACACATGTGCATACTTAAGATAACGTTTTTACACATACCACCACATTATCAGCATTTAAAAATCAACACAGCAAAACAACAAAGCATGATGTAATATTAATTTCTTAAAGTTATGCCTTAAAGCACTAAAAAGTCTGAGTTTGCAATCGTGAGACGAGTCTGTTTACTTTCTTTCTTTTGCAAAGCCTTTTAAAAGCATTTGTCACTTCTTTTGTCTTTAAAGCGTATATGATCGGATTTAGCAGAGAGGGAACTGTGTGTGATAAACTAGAATTTAATATCCTCATATTAGGATCAATTACCTGTATTTTCACTATAATATTTGTGCCCAGATATGGTATAAAAAAAAGGGCCACAAGAATCAGATGAGAAGTGCAAGTTCTCATTGCTTTAAGTCGTTCTTCTTTGGATGCAGTTCTGCTCAGTGCTATAGAAATGCTAATGTAGGTGGCTCCGATCAGTACGAGAGGAAAACAAATGACTACAGCAAAAATGAAATTAGCCATTATGTGGTTTATGTATCTATCATTACATGCTAAGCGAAACGTTGGTCCGTGATCACAGAAAATACTTTGTATGACCAAAGATGCACAGAAGGACAGGCGATCAATAAGTCCAACCAAGGCTCCAATGATCAGGACCAGAAATGTCCACGAACACAACAGAATTGTAACTATTGACTTGGTTGTTACAATAACATTATATCTCAATGGAAAGCAAATTGCTACAAATCTGTCATAGGCCATTATGACTAGAGTCCATGACTGCATACTTCCAAAGAAAAAAACAAAGAACATGTAAGTTAAGCAGGCCTCATAAACAATGTACCGCCTGTTAAACAAAAACGTGTCCAATAGCTTCGGGATGAGAGCAGTGCTCCCACACAAATCTGTCAGAGCCAGGTTGAACACTATTATGTATCTGGGAGTGTGGAGAGTCTTCGCCAGGTAGATAACAGAGAGGAGGAAACCATTGCCAAGGACAGTCATGACGTACACGAAGCACAAGAAGACATAGTAATACTTAACATGAGGGATGTTGTAAAACCCACCGAGATAAAAATGTAGAGGACGAACAAATGTGGAGTTAAACGTGATAGTATTTTCACCCTCACTGTTCATATTTATAAGAGGATATATACAAAAACAACTCACAAAACAAACATCATAACAAGAGGGACAAAGATTGGTGAAAGTTCCTGTAGTTTTCCTAAAACACTGGAGAATCACAAGTGTGTGCAGCTCTCTGAACTGCTCCATGCTTATTTTCACTTATATAGCTCATCATTACTGCATGTTCTCATGTGTTGTTCAATAAACATCCGATGATGTCATTAACGATATGACGCAACCCAACATTGATATTACCAGAACATAAAATTATATCTATCAAAAGGAGCATTTACTTAACTCCATTGATTGTTAGTATTATGTTTGTTGTGTATTCGCGTCATGCTTTCATCTGTGTCCATATATGAAGTAATGGAAAAATACATAAAAAGGTAGAGAAATAAATGTAATGTTCTTCAAACCATCTTCTCATGAAACTTTTGACCCTAGATTTAAAAGACAATATATAACCTCAGTATATCTGCTAAAATGTTTGAGATGGATGATGGAGATGGAAGCTAAATATGTTCCAAAAGTGCTTAATTAAACTGAACATAGATGATTTAGAGCAGGTAACAATTCTTCCCGTTTATGTCTCTAGTATTCTTCGAGGCTGTGTTTGCTTTAAGGGGTCTGGTTACCTCCATATTTCTACATGTTACCTCCAGACATCCAAGAACAGAGCAGGATTACAACTGCAGATTCTGTAGTTACATGCTGTGTGCAACAATTTTTTTCTGTATTTATACAGCTGCTGGTATCATTCTGTAAATTAGAGACATTTTTTTACAGTGTCGTTGTTGCTCCAATTGATTGGTGTGAATTCAGTTAAACAGCTTTTGAGTGTAAAGTATGATTAGAAAGGTCTTACATAAATTCAGGCACTTATCTATTACTCCAGATAATAACAACAGATTTACAGCTATCATTAAAAAAAAACAATACACATGGTACCAAACAGAAGGTTGTTTTGTTTATCACTCAAAAAACATCAATGAATGACAGAGATAGATAGCATCATATAGAATTATAAAATATTAACTACAGACAATAAGTAATGTCAGAGCTATAATTTAATGGCTGACTGTTTTGTTCATTTTGCCTCTTCTCCAAAGTTTCTTAATGGCATTCCTCACTTCTTCTGTCTTCAGAGAGTAGATAACAGGATTGAGCAGTGGGGGAACTGTGAATGTCAAACTGGAATTTATGATTCTTGCATTTGGATGAATGTAGGAAGTCAGTACAGCTACATTGGTGCCCACAATTGGCAGAAAAAATATGGCAACCAGAATCAGGTGAGTAGTACATGTTTCCAAAGCTCTGAGTCTTTCCTCTCTTGAAATAGTCCTGGACAAAGCGATGGAAATGCAAATATAAGAGCTAATTATCAGAATGAGGGGAATGCAAATCACCACAATAAGGACAATAGTAGCCAATGTGTAACTGTAAGATTTATCATTACAGGCCAGCTGATATATTGGACCATGATCACAGAAGAAGCTTTTAATCTCTATAGACGAACAGAACGAGAGGCGATTAATAAAACCAGCCAAAGTTGACATGACTCCAACCAAAAACATCCAAGAACAGAGCAGGATTACAACTACAGATTTTGTAGTTACAATGCTGTGATACCTTAATGGGAAGCAAATTGCTATTAATCTGTCATATGCCATTATGACAAGCGTCCATGACTGTATACCTCCGAATAATAAAACAAAGAACATGTAAGCTAAGCAGGCTTCATAAACAATGTATCTCCTGTTAAACAAAAATGTGTCCAAGAGTTTTGGGATGAGAGCAGTGCTCCCACATAGATCTGTGAAAGCCAAGTTGAAAACTATTACATACTTAGGAGTATGTAGAGTCTTCACCAGGTAGATAACAGAGAGGAGGAAACCATTGCCAAGGACAGTCATGATGTACACAAAGCACAAGAAGACATAGAAATACTTAACATGAGGGATGTTGTAAAACCCACCAAGATAAAACTTTGCAGGTCGAACAAATGTGGAGTTAAATGTGGAGCTAAGCAGATTCTCTCTATACATTATCAATTCTATCAAAATCGACAGGATATGAAAAGATGGAATCACAAAACAGACAACTTGATAAAGACTGTCACAGCTCCGTAACACAAGATGTTGCAACCTAATTCACACCGCAGGACGGCAGCTGTGCACTGCGGCGGTGACTTCATTTATACGTCCCTCCTTTTATTTACAAGCTGTCATGTTATCCAATGGTTTATGCAGTGATGACATCAAGCAACAAAAACTGTTCATCACTTCTGCCATAATACTGAATCATCAGTGGCTCAACAAAACGTTGTAAAAAAATTATTGAATTAAATTCTGTTTATTTATATAACACCATTTCTCAATAATTGTAGTCTTGAGGTACTTTTTTATAAAACTTGTCTTTATTCAGTCATAGAATAAAAAGACAGACAGATTGATCCATGCTCTAGCTGAAAATACTACACTATTAATCAAATAATAATTTAATTTCCATCTAAATTTTGACTCAAACTGCAGTTTCTCTTCTCAATATAGATGAGTTTCCCTAAGATCACGCTTCCTTGAGCAAATTACATCTGACTTGGCTTTTCTATGTGTTTTAATGTTTGATTTTATTATGCAAAATGCAAATAATCTGGAAGAAAACGCAGAATCTACATTACTTATCAACTATCCTAAGATGAATGGAAAACATTTTCTCCATTTCACCATGAAGCCCAAATTAAAACAATCAAATTTATCAAATGCAACGAAAGTCATGTTTGTTGTTGGAAATAAAAGTCAATCATAACTTAACAAGAAATGCTTATGTCTTTATTGTTTGAACACAAAAATTATGTACAGGCTGCTTTATGTAAAACACACAATTAATATAATATAAATCATATGACTCGCAACACAACAATCCACATTTGATTAATTTATCATTTTTGCTATTCTACTGTATCTCTTTATAAGTTAAATAGGTCACCAGTTTAGTGGAAACATATTCCTTTTATAACATTTTTAGTTTTCTTGATCATTTCTAAAGAGAAAAAAATGAAGTAGGTTAGTAGAAAACATGACACAATTGTTGAAACTAAACAATTAAAAACTACCATAGTTTAAAATGGCAATTTTAAGCAAATTTATTGAGAAACAAAGAAGAATGTTATGGTTTTTTTTACAGTTAAGTCACATTGTTGTGGAATTTTTACTTCTTATTTTTGATTTAAAAAATATTTTGAATAATTTTTTCATTGACACTTTGATTTCGTGCGTCTGCAGAACATAAATGATTGGGTTCAACATCGGTGGCAGCACAGAGGTCAAAGACAAGTTTATGATTCTGTTGTTTGGATGTATTTTTTCCATCAATGTAAATGTGATTAACAGGGGGGTAAAGTAGATAACCACTAATGAAAGATGAGCGATACAGGTCTTAAAGGCTTTGAGTCCTTGTTGAAATGTTGCCACTTTTACTAAAGTGTAACTAATATAGAGGTAACTTAAAAGGATAAAAACAAGCGGCAGCCAAAAAATAAGAACAGGATAAAAAAATCCAATCACATCATTTGGAAAATTGTCATTGCAAGCAAGGCGGTAGATCTGACCGTGATCGCAGAAATAGCTGTTAATAACCACAGACTTACAGAATGAAAGTCTTGTCAGGAGGCCGACAGAAATTAAGACAGCGACTATTGCAAAGATCCAGAAAGAGGTGATCAAAGTCAACATGGACCTGCAGGTTACTTTTACTTGATAGTGAAGAGGAAATATGATGGCAACCAGTCGGTCGTAGGAGAGAGCAACCAGATTAAAAGACTGCATTGAAAGGCAAGTGTAGCAGAAAAAAAGGAACGTCAAGCAGTCATTGTAGGGAATTATGTTATGGTGAAACAGAAAGATATCAATCACCTTTGGTACCAGAGCAGAGCTGCCTAACAGGTCCACAAATGCAAGGTTAAAAACAGCAACATACTTTGGAGTTCTTAGACTGTGATCTAAATATATTATAGCCATTACGGCTGTGTTTCCCACCACAGAAATTATATACAGAAAAAAAAGAAAGATGTAGTAGGACTTCATGTTGGGTAAGCCAATAAATCCATTGATTACAAAATATGCAGGACGCACAAAAGTTATATTTTTTCCAAAAGCAGAGTTGAACAGTTCCATTGTAGCTCTCCTCCAATGTGCTAAAATATACTAAACGTTCAATAAAGTGTGAAGAATCCTCTTTGGACTGCAGGACTTCCTTGTGCAGAACATGAGACGTTCGAGAGCCGTTATCCGGATCTCGTCTGGCAGATCTCTGTCAGGATTTTAAATGACGAAGTGGAGACTTTAGAGACAAGCAGCGATTCTCGTCTCTCTTTATGTCTAAGTCAGTTTGCTGCTGTCTATTCCCATGTGTGTCCCAGACAAACCCAGATCATTCAGTGTAATTATGAAAACCTCTTTATATAAGTTTGTGTGGTACGTATAATATTATCCTTGTTAAACAAAAACAAGAGTAGTTCTTTGAGATGTGTCTTAAAAAGAGAAGTCATACTTACGTACATCTTGTTGAAAAATACTCAAATAGATTATTGTATAAAACATTTACATACAGTGAAGGCAGTACAAATATGAACATTGCTCATGTTTTGCTAAGGCCTTACCAAACTCTGCTAAAGGGCCTTGATTCTCATATAAGATTGAGATGAAATTATTTTTTTATCCTGCAGGATATGATATTATAAAAGCGGTGGCTTTGCTGCAAGTGTAGAGTTTTACTACAGTAAAACTCTCAACTTTAATTTGAGAATCTGTGGTTCTATCTGTGTGTCTATGAACATCTAAAGCGTTTCTATGTTTTTCCTTGTGGGTGCAAAACTCTTCGCTGAACATTTTTGGATCATTTTCTTGGCTCAGCCATGTTTCTAATTTATTAAAACCATTCATTGGGCGAGCTATTTTAGTTGGGTTTTGAGAATTACAGGGGAAAAAAATTGTTTAAATATTAAAATGTATTGTGTGTATGAAGTTGTCGCAAGACAATAAATTTAAATTAGGCTCGTATTCTTTTGTCTGTATAATTGCAACGCTGAACAAAATGATTCAGATATAAAAAACTATTTTTAATACTCAAATATGTGCAAGTAACCTGCTCTCATATTCCTACAAACCAAACAATATGAATGTTTTTATTTTGTTTTTGTTTTTTGATTGTTTGTTTTTACATATTCCTTTCATATAGTTCTTGAATTTCAAAGGGGAGTATTATGCAAAATCAAAATGTTGTTCACTCATCAAAAACATATGTAGAATGTTGCTTTAATTCATTCATGTAAGTTTGAGAAATCCTTGAATTTCCTGTGGAATTATTGGATTTATCCAAAATGAATCCAAATAGCAGTGCAATAAACTGACTTCATGCATTAGGCTTCATAAGTATTTAAGTCTTTTCTGAACTGTAGCTACTAACACAAAAAACTGACACAACTTTATTAAAATAATAATACAAAAAACACAATAAAGCATAATATAAACTAGATAGAACTTAGGTGTTGTAAATTCTCCATGTTTTATGTATTTTTCTTCATTCTATGCAGTATTTAATATATCTTCACAGCATAATATTATTAATATATTATATCTTCGTTTTTAAAGACAGATGTCAGACATCACGTGATTTTTCTTATTGTTGTTTATTTTTGTGTTTTCTCACACCATTTACCTCATTTAAACCATCCTAATATCATCATTTTATATTTGAAATACTCTTACTTTGCTTAGAAAGAAGTTATTTTTTTTATTTTCAATCAGCACAATTTAAGTTCTGGTGAAAATAATTAAGTATCTCCAGTCTTCCTAAATATTTGTTATGATAAAAAACTGACATATGTAGTAGAATAATATAACCAATATTATGACATAAACTTTTCTTTAAGATAATAGAGCCACCTACACAATATGTAACAGAAGATTTTAATAAATATTTCTATGAACATGCCAAGAAGAAAATGACTTACAACACAAACACAAAAACAACAAATGTTTGCATGTGAGCTCAACCACATCCTACTTTCTAATAATTCTGGATTGCCTTTTGATTTTCAATATTTTCTTCAGTGAAACTTTTATCTCTTGTGTCTGCAAAACATAAATGATGGGATTCAACATGGGTGGAAACACAGAAGTAAGAGACAAGTTGATGATCCGGGCATTCAGATGCATTCTCGAACTCATGGTAAATGTGATTATTATCGGGAGGAAGAAGATTACCACCAATGAGAGATGAGCTGTGCAGGTTTGAAAGGTTTTTGCTCTCTCATGAGCTGCAGCAACTTTAGACAAAACACAACCAATACAAATGTAACTGGACACAATGAATAAAAAAGGGAGCCATAGAAAAAGGACTGGTAATAAATTGCCAATTACTGTATTAGGAAAATAGCTATTGCAGGCAAGATTATACAACAGCCCATAGTCACAGAAATAGCTGTTAATGACCAAAGACTTGCAGAAGGAAAGTCTAGTAAGAAGACCAACTGCAATTAAAGTAGAAGTTATTGCAAAAAACCAAAAAAATGTAATCATGGAAAACATAATCTTATGAGTGACCTTTACATGATAGTGCAGAGGATACATGATGGCCATCAGGCGATCATAGCAGAGAGCAACCAGATTAAGAGCCTGCATCGAAAGGGAAATGTAGCAGAAGAACAGGAACGTCATGCAGTCATTGTAGGAAACATAATAATGATTAAACAAAAAGATATCAAGAACCTTTGGTACCAGAGGACAACTACCTAAGAGGTCCACAAATGCAAGGTTAAAAACTGCAACGTACTTTGGAGCTCTGAGGTTATAATCCAGACAGATTACAGCCATTACAGACACGTTTCCCAGCACTGAAACAAAATAGACAAAAAACAGAAAGACATAGTAATACTTCATGTTTGGTAAACCAATAAATCCGCTGAGGATGAAATAAGGAGGGCGGATAAAAGTGGTGTTCATTCCAAGAGCAGAGTTGAACAGTTCCATTGTAACTCTCCTCCAGTGTGCTAAAATATACTAAACGTTCAATAAAGTGTGAAGAATCCTCTTTGGACTGCAGGACTTCCTTGTGCAGAACATGAGACGTTCGAGAGCCGTTATCCAGATCTCGTCTGGCAGATTTTAAATGACGAAGTGGAGACTTTAGAGAGGAGCAGCAAATCTCGTCTCTCTTTATGTCTAAGTCAGTTTGCTGCTGTCTATTCCCATGTGTGTCCAAAACAAACCCAGATCACTCAGTGTAATTATGAAAACCTTTTTATATAAGTTTGTGGGGTATGTATAATATTAACATGATTACAAAATGATTCAGATATTAAAAGCTATTTTCAATACTCAAATATGTGTAAGTAACCTTCTCTCATACTACGATATCCCTACAAACCAAACAATATTCTTATTTATGGTTTCATTTCTCATGAATTACCTTTGTTGCTTTAATATTCTGAGTTATTCATTTATTTAGATGTTTTTTTATTTCCAGTTGATCCATTACAACTTGTTTTCCCTATTTTGACCTTCAAACTGCTTCATACTCTTGTAATTTTTAAACGTGTGTACATCAAACTCAGAAATATTTTTCATTACTGTCTCGGTAACCTTTGTTTTGTTTGACTTTCAGATCATGTGTTTTAAAATAACTGCTTACAAAAATAAACGAATTTTGTTCATCATATAGTCCTTTATTATAAATGATTTGAGTGACATTTACCAGTGACTTATTGAACATTTGGATAAATATAACTGTTTACATTAGATGTTCAGAGCAGAAATATTAACATCGGTGAGTTTAATACCATAGAAAAACTGAAAAATAAACATCGCAGTGAAGCAATTTGTATATCCTTTCCTGAGGAAAGGAAATAAATTCATAAAGTACCAATTTAACATGATGGTTTAAATTTACAACCTGGTTTTTTAACTTAGGCTTCAATTTTTTTATTTAGCACATTTCTCCTAATATAACGTAGTATGTTTTTAATCCTCTCTCTCTTTTGTTATATTCTGTTATTTCTAGAAAGTCCTGTCATTTTGCTTTTAATGAAGAAAGAAAAATGTTACAATTCACAAGTACTGGAACATTTTTATTGCAGTCTTGTGTTTTTCAGATTGTGACACACTTCTTCAGCAGCTATGACTGTTTTTTTTATTGTTTTATTTTTACATATTCCTTTCATATAGTTCTTGAATTTCAAAGGGGAGTATGATGCAAAATCAAAATGTTGTTCACTCATCAAAAACATATGTGGAGTGTTGCTTTGATTCATTCAAGGATGTTTGAGAAATCCTTGAATTTCCTGTGGCAGCCATCCAGGAGGGCCTTAGCTGGATTTATTGGATTTATCCAAAATGAATCCAATTAGCAGTGCAATAAACTGACTTCATGCATGAGACTTCATAAGTATTGAAGTCTTCTCTGAACTGTAGAAGCTTTGAATAAATATTTTTATGAACATGACAAGAAAAAAATGACTTACAACACAAATACAAAAACAACAAATGTTTGCATGTGAGCTCAACCACATCCTACTTTCTAATAATTCTGGATTGCCTTTTGATTTTCAATATTTTCTTCAGTGAAACTTTTATCTCTTGTGTCTGCAAAACATAAATGATGGGATTCAACATGGGTGGAAACACAGAAGTAAGAGACAAGTTAATGATCCGGGCATTCGGATGGATTCTCGAACTCATGGTAAATGTGATTATTATCGGGAGGAAGTAGATTACCACCAACGAGAGATGAGCTGTGCAGGTTTGAAAGGTTTTTGCTCTCTCATGAGCTGCAGCAACTTTAGACAAAACACAACCAATACAAATGTAACTGGACACAATGAATATAAAAGGAAGCCATAGGAGAAGGACTGGTAATAAATTACCAATGACTGAATTAGGAAAATTGTTATTGCAAGCAAGTTTATACAACTGGCCATGGTCACAGAAATAGCTGTTAATGACCAAAGACTTGCAGAAGGAAAGTCTAGTAAGAAGACCAACTGCAATTAAAGTAGAAGTTATTGCAAAAAACCAAAAAAATGTAATCATGGAAAACATAATCTTATGAGTGACCTTTACATGATAGTGCAGAGGATACATGATGGCCATCAGGCGATCATAGCAGAGAGCAACCA